GATGGAGGCGGATGACAAGGGGGATGGAACCAGAAGCGAGGTGATGAGTCGGGTAGGGGAAGAAGGGGTAATGAGGGAAAAAGTTTTGTGTTCCACTTAGTTCTAGGGGTAAGGGTGGAACAAGCTTGTCCCATGCTTGTCCAACTTAGTTCCACTTAGTTCCACATTTAGCCACACCAAACGCAGGACAAATGTGTTCTGTTCTGTCCTGTCCCACCCTGTCCAGCGTACCAAACGCACCCTTAAGGTTCCCTAAAGATGTCCTTTTTTATATTTTTCTGAAAAATCAAGAATTCTTTTGTCTTAAATGGACCCAATAGTTTGTAATGGAGAAGGGTGTAAAGTTTATTTCTAAATTATAATTAATAAATCAATAAAAATCATGAATTTGTGGTATTATTAATGTTTAATGTTTTAAATAATATTATTTATTTGTTGGTTTATTGGAATTTAACCTAAAGCTTTATGAAATTGTAGATATTTGATGATAAGTTGATAATCTCAATTTAGAAGATTATGTATTAATAGACATGTCGAATGATCGTATGCAAAAGAGAGTAAAGATGAAAAGCATAAGAAGGGATATGAATTCTTGATCTGATACGAGGATTGATCTGGTGAATCTCGGTGCATCTCATCATAATGTGCATCTAAGGATGGAGATCTCTTCTTACGCTTCTCACTGGAACCCAACCCTAATAGACAATAGTAAATACACAATAAGTTGTTTTTTAGTGTTGTTACTAAGTGTTTTATGATATATATATATATATATATATATATTTGTCATAACATTTTTTCTAAAAGAACTACACTAGAATGAAATGTTTTTTTTTGTTTTTTATGTTTGTTTACACTATAACCTTATAACTTTTTCAGGGTATGCACTAGAGATGCACAAATGTCACTGAACCAAAAATCCGCCCGAGATGACTAGGTAAGCTAAGTACGATGCTTGGGGCCTATCCAAGCCAAAATGACTTATCGGCCCCCATTTTTTTCTGAAAAGCCAAATAAAGTCTAGTCAAAGGCAAGAAAGCTTGAAAAGGGGATCAATCAAATTAGATTTGTACACACACGCATATAGATATATATATATATATACACACACACACGCACACATATACACACATATATAACAAGGCGAATGATCTTGTGAGAAGGGAAGAAATCTGAACCTTTAATCATTTTTTATTTCATATCTATCCATGAATTACGCTTTAGAATAAAATTGATCTGATGCATCACGATGTACCTCATTAGTGATGACATTCAATTAAGATTGATACAAGGATAGAGATCTCTTCTTATGCTTCTCACTAAAACTTCTCTTCTCACCGGAACCCAAACCTATAAAACAATGATGTACAATTAAAATAAAGGAAATTAAAAAAAAAAGGAAATGATTGCTTAGGACCTATCGAGGCCTAAAGGACCCATTGATGGCCATTTCTCAACTTCAATAGCGGTTAGAATCGACATTCACCCTTTGATGCTTGAATCAAGCTTTTCAAGATCGAGTGCAAACATCAATCCTTGTTCATCTCTACTACGTACATACTATATAAATCTACTAATGTCAACTAAGTTGATGAAACAAATTGCATGCAATCTCATTTGCTTATCGACATGAGCATGTGGCCATACGTCTTTTAACTAGATAAAATGTGTTTTATTTTCATTAAAATACATCTAAACAACCTGAAAATATTAATCTAATGACTTGTTAATGTGAAATACAAATACACAAGTTATGTAGAACCAAAATGTTTTACAGCTACAAGACGTTATTAGGATTATTAAAAATTCTTTTGTAGGCACGGAGGTTCAAATGCAGTAACTACGGGCTATCTGCAAAGCAAGTGGTCGTCCTGTAATTAATCGGCTTGCATAACGAGTTGAATATCCAGGTTAATAAAAAAAAAAAAAAAACAATGGTTGCATTATTTGTAGCAAAACACAACACCATGTCTCATGAATCAAATCATCTTAGTCGATATAGAAAGATAGGGGCCATTTTTGACAAAGCAATAAAAATAAAGGGGGTGTAAGTAGATAAGAAGAGAGGTGGTTTGGATCTGGGAAATCGGCCTCGTAGGATGTGTTGTTGACGAGGATTGTTGAGAGCCGTCGATGGAACGGTGATGTTTGGCAATCCACCGTATGAAAGAAAGCTACTTTCAGTGGGGACCAATGATCATAGATCTTAATATCTGGCACCGTTGATTATCAAGGCCGTCTAAATGAAGGGTGAGGATGGAGTTTAAGTGGGAACATGGGGAATAAGTCAGGTCAAAATTTAGGGCTGTCACATGTGATAAAATGGGCCTCCGTGTCTCCACGGTACCCTTTAAGTTGACCGGATAAAGTGGTAGTCAAAACCTATAAAATTACACCCTTCCGAATTTCCGATTAATTAAATAAATAATTAAAACTTGATATAATTTTATTAATCAGTTTTATAATGTCAACAACTAATTATTTTTTAAGTCAAAGTTTTGTGAGGAGTGAATATATATATACGCACTAAGGATGGAGGTGATAAACAAAAGAATGAATCTGAACTTTTAATTATTATTTTTTTTTATCTCATCTCTTTTATGAATTATGCTTATTTTAGAAATTGATATGTTGTATTTTGGTGTATCGTATTAGTATTGATTTTTAATTAAAATTGATCTAAATGTGAATATCTCTTCTTATCCTTATCATCATAATTTTGTCCTCACTGGAATCCAACCATATATATATATATGGTTGAGTTCTAGTATGGTTGGATTCTAGTGTAAACGATACATATCTAAAAGAATACGAAAACTGACGAATCACATGCGATCTTATACTAAAATCACATGCGATCTTATACTAAAATCACATGTGATTCAGATGACTTTGCTTGGCGACCTGAAGACACAGCTACAAGTCGTTCGGACACTTTTTTTTACCATTAATGTAAAATCACACGTGATTTGCCCGTTTTCGTGTTCTTTAAATATGTATCGTTTTCGTTTGTTCTTGCCTCTCTCTCTCTCTCTCTCTCTCTCTCTATATATATATATATATATATAAGTTGGTTCAAATAGAAACCAACCATATGGTACAAACTATGGAAACCGATCTTGACCAATCACATTCTTTCTTCACTTTAGGTTCAAATCTAAATTATAAATTAATGATAAGGGTAATTTGATAATTCAACCTTTTTGTAACCCCCAATAATTAATTGGGAGTTACAAATCTTAAAAGATACATCTAATTGTTCATGAGATTTTTATGATTTCTTTATTATTTCATGTTCATGGTATTCATTTCAATTGATTTTATACATATATTGAAATTGGTTGTYTAAGTGTACAAGATTTTCATTTCGTTCAAGATACATGAAGAATCCTATTGTAAAAGAATGTCAGAATAATGAAGACGATAAACGCTTGCAGTCTATGTTCATATCTGCACACATGCACAACGATCCTTGATTTTGAAATTGTTCATATCTGTGCATCTCTTGCAGTCTATGTTCATATATGTTCACCATATGAACAACTTGTTTTCATTGAAAGACATAATCGTTGTTCATAAGAACCCGTGACGATGTCATACAGTATGACATTGAAAAACATATGAACATATGAACATAGTGTTTACATTGCAAGACACAAATGCTGTTCACACGAGCATAGGGCCGACATGTGAACATGAGTTGTGAATATGTTCATAATCGATCGTAGGTTACAAATCGGCTGGAGAATATCGGGTTTACGATGYRTGAGGATTTATTACCAAAATACTCTGTGAACAATTGTTCATAAGCAGCCCAATTAATTTAATGATTAATTGATTATTTTTTAATACTCATTTAATAATGAHCGTTTGACCAATTTACCCTTTG